GTAATATAGTTTGTTATTTGCATTTGCACATCTAAATTTTGGATAGTTTTGTTTTTAATAATCTGATCACTCAGACCATTTTCAGCTAAGTATCATATGGCTTTTCAACAAACAAATATATAAAAATGAACGAATTTTTAAACTATTTACTGCCATTTAAAAACAAAACTCTATAGTTATAATTTTATAAATTGTTTAATTGGAATTTTAGATTTTTAAATTTCAATCGAAAAAAAGAAAACTATATACTCGCGATCTATATATATATAGTATTGTTCAACACTAATAAAAATCACACATTATGCTAGTTGAACAAACTCTCTACAAATTCGCTCACCATGCGGATACCATGATCTTTAATTTGGTGGAAAACAACACACGCATGTCCAAAGCTAAACCTTATCTATCACTTAACCAAAATTCATCACATAACTATATGAGAGATTATAACCAAGTATCCCATTAGTCCAACCTCCAAAACATCCACAACATCAGTAAAGATCCAAATATGAGAGCTATTCAAACACATGTCATATTCTTTTTCGTGTTAGTCATCACTATGGCATCATCAATACGAGCCCAAAAGAGTCCTCATAGTCAAAACAACCATGGACTATCTATCGCCATCGAAGAAATGGAGAAAGCGAATTACTTCTCTTTCGTGATGCTCATCAACATGTTAGAATCCGTAAACCCTAGATTCTTAGCCAATGTCACATTCTTGATGCCAAAAGACAAAACCCTTTCAAGATCGAACATTATTGAACATGATTCGGTTACCGAGTTCTTGCTTCGCCACTCGATCCCTTCTCCTCTTCCTTTCGAGCACCTCAATCTTATCCCCAATGGCTCCATCGTTCCTTCCTCCTTACCACATTATACCCTCAAAGTCTCCAATGGTGGAAGATTAAGCTACTTTCTCAACAATGTCAAGATCATTAGCCGCAACATTTGTAGCTTAGGCTCTATCAAATGTCATGGAATCGACGGTATACTCCAATCTCCAAGTACTATCGATGATGATGCTCCTCAAAATAATCACACTGTACCCTCCATTCCTTGCCCTAGCAGCCACAACACTAGTGATCACAGCATTCATAACAGTAGTGACCACAGCAGTCATAACAATAGTGATCACATTATTCCTAGTCCTAATTATACTCATACTGATACCGCTCCTCCTCCAGCCAGCAGTCCGGGCCCGGCTCGCCTGCAAAAATCTGATTCTTCAAAGCTTCGTGAGGGGAAAAAGTTGGTTTCTATCGTTAGTCTTAGTCTCGGATTATTATTGAATGTGATCGGTATAGGGATCGGTATCTAATGTTCGACTCCACGTACGGCACGGGTAACACCTAGCTATCCGTAATAGTAGCCTCCTGTTATATAGTTTATAAATATGTAACAAAAGAAAAAGAACTTATATTGAAACAATCAATTCAAATATGGGTTGTAACTTTCTTTACAAATTTTTGTTTAGAGATCTCATTCGTATTTATTGATTCGAATGTCACCAAAAGATTGGAATTCTTTTGTTAATTTCAGTATAAAATTAGGCTTACAAGTTGTACATATATAATCAAAACTATGATACTATCACTGTAGTATCTATTTTGGCAGTATTATATTCCTAGTAACTTTTATTAAAAAATCACATAAATTATATAATAAAATAGAAAAATTCATCAATATAATTTTTAGCGTCTACTTTATTCATTAATTCGAAAATGAATACAAAAGAAAATAAAAATTCGACAACACAAACGGATGTAACTAAACGATGGAAAAGTAAATTTACACGATGTTTTCGAAACAAAAATCTTACTCGCTAGCCTGAATGCATTATTTTCCGTCTTCAAATTTAATCCCAATACGATGAAACCGTCGTTCTTGGATATCATCTCTTGGATAAAACTCTATAATTGTCAGTGGCCGGAGGTAGAGAAGGATTAGGGGGTTCATGTGACCCCTACAAAATTAACATATTAATTTTTTTTAGTACAAATTTGAATTAATTTGGTGAAATATTTAGTTAAAATTAGTGTATGACCACGATAAATTTTTGTTCAAATTTCCAAATGCCCCCACTAATTCATATATTTTTTCATATTAGTTTTACAATATTAAATTCGTTTATTATGACCCCGGTAAAATTTATTTCTAAATCCGTCGCCACAGATAATTGTCTACTAATTCCCATGTTACCAAGCCTTCTCCTTTTCATCAATTGGTCGCCGGTGCGTAAATACAATCATCAATAATTTTTTTACTAGTGTATTACCCACCCTCTACGCGGGATTTATTTTTTAGATAATGATCTTAAAAAGATAGGAAAGGTAATGTTCAGATGTAACAAACACGAACCCATAACAAATTATGTTTTATTCATAATCTTGCAACAG